GCTTTAGAATATCGATTCAGTATCGGGAAATGAAATATCGCAATATTTCAGTCTATCGATATTTTCGTGCAGCCCTACTTGTGACGTCCACAGCCTACCCCAGTTACCACTACTGTGCATGTGTGTCAAGGACAGAAAGGCAGATGTGGCAGTGGAAGGTGTCAAAGCAGTTTGGAGAGAAAAACAAAGTAAAGAACAAAAAATAAAAGGAAGAAGAAAACGATTAATCGATTATTAAATTAGTTATCGATTATTTTAATAATCGATTAGTTGTCGATTAATTGATTAATCGGTGCAGCCCTAATATATCTGGATCTACTAATATCAGGATGATCTAAGTATCAAAATGTAGCTTTTAAAGCCAAGAATCAGAAAATATGATTAATTTTGACCAAATTTGACTTAATCCTCATTTCAATGTGATTCAACTCAACTCAATTCAAATTCAAAAATACTTTATTGATCCCAGAGGGAAAGTAGGTAAGATTACTGTAATTAGGTAATTAGATGGGTTACATATAACCAATAATAATTCCATGTCTTTGTACAGATAATTTTAAATAAAACTGGTGTTTGTGTGGAACTTTTAACTCAAAAGCAGAAGCTAAAGTTGACATTTCTGTTCAGCTTGTTGGTTTTATTTTGTTATTAGAGGTTGTGTGTTTGTGTCGAAGGTTGGAGCAGCCCCACCTGAATGCCAACGCGTCTTTCTTTGAGGCCCTATCCTGYTGCTCTCGCCTGCAGCGGCTCTGCCTCATCTCCCGTAGCGGCACCTTCGACCCGTCATCCACAGAGAGCTTCATGGAGCGATGCCGCCAAGTCATCATGTGCCACATGTTCATGAGCGGCACCTTGGTGACATGTCGGACGTTGCAGAAAGCTCTGCTCGACAGGTCAGCGTTTTTGGGGGGGTTTAAAGCAGGCGGGCGTTAAACAATCAGCTCGAGTCGATCTCATATCTGATCTCTGTTTTTTCTCTTTTCCTGTTAGATTTTCGGCGGAGCGCACGGCGCTCAGCGTGGTCATCTACCCGTTACAGCACGAAGACCTGCCGTCTGTCATCCGAGGAATTCCACTAACGCTGCTGGATCGGATCACTTTATTTCAGAGCAACGTGGCACAACCACCTCATTTGTCGCCACTGTGACATCATCTTCAATTCACAAATGAAAGAAASTATTTGTGTATCAGCTCTCAGACTTACATCAGCAACAGTTTTTTTTGCACCTTGTCAGCCATGACTGTTTACATTTGCATAACAGTAATAGTGATTTTAAGGGACATTGCCCCTCTCAGGCATTTGAGTTTTTTATTTGTGACATTTCACATGTGGTGCTACTTGAACATCTCAGTCACAGATTATGTCTGTTTTTTGTGCCACTCTTACTCTTAAAATAAGTGCCAGAAATGTTGACAAAGGATGGTGTTGTAACAATACTACATTAGGGCTTTACATGACAAACACATGGTGTAATAAAGTAATGTAGTAAATTTTAATTATTGCTTGTGTATGTTTTTTCTATCTAGTCATATTCTTACATACAGTGTGTACATATGTGTGTGTGTATACTGTATGTATGTATATGTATATGTATATGTATATATGGATGAAGATGAGGGTGAAAAAGCACCAATGGAAACTCTTACCTTTATTCAGCTATAACGTTTTTTTAATGACCATAAATGTATTATTTGATTTTTTAAAATTTATTTAATAGTGTGGTTTATCAAAGCTTATAAATCCAGAAGTATCCTCACAGGTGCTGAAATTACTATAAAAAGACATCTGGTTCACTGATGTATATTCATAAATTGTGCAATTTAGTTGGACACAAGTAATGGCTTTGTTTAATTTTTGAAATAAGCAAAACCATCTAATGAAGTAAGATTGTCAGATTTGTAGGTGGTATTAGACTAATTATATATTTGACCCAACACATCGAAACGCAGATTAAGTCCAAAAGTGGTATAAGGAGAAATAGGCAAATATAGTGTTTTGACTAAACTGTTAATAAAAATTGCATTTTGTCAAAATATAATGAATAAAAGCCTTATCAATGTATCATTTGAATGAACTGTCTGAAATATAATCATAAAACAAAATTTTGAAGTACTTTTTTGAGCAGTGGCAACAACAACAAAAAAACCTGATTTTGAGGAAAAACGCCTTAAAATTTTGAGATTTTCCCTGTGAGCTAGCAAAGTTTTGTTTATTTTTAACTGGGAAAGCTCAATATTCAAATATAATTTGAGGTTTCCTCTTTATAAGGACATCAACAATTCCTCATTAAAATGCCATAAAATTAGGATTCAGACCAAATATTTATGTATTATTGCAACCAACAAGACAAATTATGTCATATATATGGGTTTAATTATGATATCAGAATGATCCAGGTATCAAAATGTAGCTTTTAAAGCCAAGAATCTGAAAATGTAATTAGGTCATTTTGACCAAATTTGACTTAATCCTCATTTCGATATGATGGGTCACATATTTGGACCTCTGTACTGCACCTAAATAAATGCACGCAGCTTCTTTTAGCTATAACTTTGCTCTGAGTGACCTTTCTAAACCTAAACATCGTGATTTGTACATGACATGTTGCAGGTTATTTACTGTCCAGTCTTGAATAACAAGCATTACCTCATGTGACCAGTAGTGGGCAGTAAAGTCTCTAAGAGAATCAACAGGCTTAATAATCAAACGATGCTTCAGTCGATCAGAGTCCGAGACGATAACTTCACTTGATTACCTATTTTCAGCTGTCTTTAACAGGTGCCAGACAGTACAATATTTTTACTTTCAAACTATTTATATTTTAAAAGTAAAAACAAACAAATAGGACAACTACGATTCATAATATTTAGCTCTGTATCTATTATTAGGTCTGGACTCGATGAGCCTTTGAACATCGAGGGTTTGCGTAGCATGCTGCTAACTCTGTTGTCCTCTAAACGGGTGTTTTGARTTTTATAATGCTGTAGTTCTTTTACAGATGTAGAAAGTTAACATGTAATGAGCCAGATAAAACTACAAAAAACATGTTAAAGGTCGCCTCATTGTCCGTGCGACGCGGGAGTAAAATACCTATTTTCAGGCTGTCGATCCTTTCAGTCGCGAGGACAGGAGCGCTCAGCCTGACGGGGAGCCCGAACTCATCACAACACCGGTACTCAGCTGGAGCTCTCTCACCCGGTCCACCGTGGCTCTCCGTGGGCCATGCCGTCAGATTTGTGTCCCTGCCAGTCTCCTATAGTAAAGAATTCGAGGACTCTTACTCCTCGGACGGACCTGACTGGGAAAACTTCGGCACCTTGTCCAACGAGATGGCCTCCAGGCGGTGGTTCAAGAAAAGCAGCCCATATACGCGAGACCTGCAACACGAAGAAGATGCTGCTGCTGAGCAGGAAGTTTCAGAGCTGGAGCTGGAGGTGGTGGATAAAACTCTCAGGACAAGAAGAAGTAGAAATACTCCTTACTGGTATTTCTTACAATGCAAGAAGCTGATAAAAGAGAAAAAGGTGAGGAGTCTGTTTCCCTCCCTTCCTTCATCCATTCAGTGTGTTTAACTGTGTTTTGTTTCCTCACAGCTGCAGGAGGCTCTGGATATGTTCAGCAACGACATGCTGAAGGGGGAGAGGCTGCAGCCCAAGGAGTTCAATTACTCTGTTCTGATTGGAGGCTGCGGGCGAGCAGGAGAACTCAAAAAGGCCTTCAAACTCTACAATGATGTACAGAGATTTTATTTATCACTTCATTACTTTGCTTCGCTTAAACAATATTCACCTTTTGTTTTCCTCCAACAAATCTCCAGTGGAATCATTATTGTTATTATTCATCCCCACACAGCTGAAAAAACGAGGTATGTATGCTTCAGATGCGACCTACACAGCTTTGTTCAACGCCTGCGCAGAGGCTCCCTCGAAGCAAGCCGGATGTCAGCAGGCAATGAAACTGAAAGAGGAGCTCCGTCTGAAAAACTTCCCCCTGAGCACCATCATGTACCACGCTCTCCTCAAGAGTCACGCCATCACCAACAACCTCCAGGCCTGCGTTCACACTCTGAGGGTGCGTCTGCCCTCTCCCGTGCAGGTTAAAGGGAGGCCGGGGTTTTGGCCGGGTCACGTGTAACAGTGTTTGTTTGCAGGAGATGCTTCAGAAAGGCCACGCTGTAACTCAGGAGACGTTTCACTACCTGCTGATGGGCTGTGTGTCGGACAAAGGAATAGGGTTCAGGCTGGCTTTACAGGTAAATACAAAAACCACAGACACGTGCTGCTGTATACTTCGAGTCATTTTTTTCTTCATTTAGCCGAATCTGAATCCTGAGTTCATGTTTCTGCCTCTGTCTCCTCGACATAAACATTAATACTGCTTCACTTAAAGTGCCTGTGACATCAAATTTTTGTAATAAACAAGAATGTATTTTTGGAAAGATAACATTTATAACATACTGCAAAACATTTCACGTCACTGAGATGAACGGTTGTTGAGATATTTGCATGTGAAGAAACAGGAAGTGATGTCAAAGGGGAATGTCTGCATGTAAACAGAGCGTTGTTGCAAAAACAACACAGACTATAGAGAAGAATCTGATGTTTTAGATTATTTTAGTCGCTATCAAAGAGAGATGAAGAAGAGTTAAAGTTTAAATCATTTTGTTTTAATAGACCGAGGACCAGCAAGTTTATTTTATTAATGAGTTCCCCTTTGATGTCACTTCCTGTTTCACTTTGGCTGAGCCAAATTCAAACGAAAATAGGCCAGTTAATGGGACAAAATGTGTAAAAATAATGTGTATTATGCCAATTTTCTTAATTATAAAGATGCTTTCTTTGACTTTTTGTATTTGAAGGATAGGCATGTCACAGCTACACCATCTCACTACATCTGTGTGTTTTAGAGAAAACAATCTGTGCTACAGATTGAGTTAAATAAAAGTTGACTTTTTCCCCCACAGTCTTCCCAGTGCAGGTTTATTCAGCTGTTCAGTTAGGATGATGTGTAAAACATAAGTAAAAATAAAATGACAGAAGAAAAAAAAACTGCCTCAACGTTTTCTGTGTGTTACAGATGTGGCGCCAGATGCTTCACTCAGGGATTACTCCTGATTTGCAGAATTATAACCTGCTCTTAAGAGCTGCCAGGGACTGTGGGATTGGCGATCCTGCAACAGCCACAAATATTCTGCTGAGGCCCGACCATAACAAGCGAACGAAAACAAAAGGTGGCAGAGGTGTAATAAACGTCGACCTTCTGGAGAGTCAGCTGTTTCTCCAGCAGGATCCAAACGGGGGCAGCCAGGGGAAAGAATCCACCCATCTGGTACCAGTCAGACAAACGGAAAACGTCCCGCTTCCAGTTGACCCAGAATCCGAGGCTACGGCACCAAGCCTGCTGGATCTTTTTGAAGGGAAACCATGCTCCGTGGTCTCGCTCGGCACTGTGGATGCTGTGTCCGACAGGCTCGCCCTCATCGGCGGGGTCGGAGGTTTTCTGGAGAAGTTGGAAGAGAAAAAACTCGGGCCGGATCTCCGAACTCTGACTCTTCTGGCCGACACGATGGAGCCGAGCCACCAGGCTCTGCAGCTGCTGTTAAAGTCTGCCAAACAGCATCGGGTGAAGCTCGACTGCGCGTTTTTCAACACCGTGATTCGCAACATGGCCAGAAGAAGTAGCTTGGAGGACGCAAAGGTAACAACACGCAAAGACAAGATATAAATATAATTGTTCCTKTTTACTAATATTAACACATAAATTCACCTGTATTAAAAATATCCTTACACCTTAAACCCATATAATGAAACATTGTCTCCATCATTTCAGTTCCCCTGCAGAGATGAGATCTGTATTAGAGAGGATTTGAGGCTGGATGAAGAGTATTTCTTAGATTTTTTTTGTGTCGTGAAGGTAGTTCAGCTTTTACTCATTACTGGAAACATGACCTGCTTCAGAGCAACAAAAAAGTCTGAAGATAGTTACTGAGTGTCTCCTCCCTCCAGTTTAAATATCCTGGATTATTATATATTTTTACCTCTTCGTATTTAACTTTGACTAAACGTGAAAAGTCACATTCCTCGTCTCACTGCTGCAGCTGAGCAGTACTTGAGCTCTACGAGTATTTCCTGCATAGAAACGACTTTTTAACACATCCTCTTATAAACACAGAAAAGTGCTATGTGTACGACTGACTAAATCTGAATTAAATAATACAGAAATGCCAGTAAAAGTACGCATGTTTTACTCACTGTTGTGATGAATAGCTGACGTCTTGAATTCTGAACACAGGAATGCCCCTCCAGTTCCTCCTATTGGAGGGGCATTCCAGTTTAAATTTAGGACTTGTAAGTGAGGAAATTCTGGCTTTGGAGTATAAATGTGTTGTATCAAAAGTAGCTAGTGAAAAGGCAGCAAAATTTACACAGTGAATTTTGCAGCTACCGGCTACTTTTGAACCCTGTGCACCTCCACCTAGTGGTGGGCTGATGTCATTTTCCAGGTAAAATTATCCACATGCATTATGGGGGATGCAGTTTATGGCCAATGCTGTCTTCAGTTTTGTTACAAAGTTTCTCTCTGTTTGCTGCTCCAGCTGTGCGGCTTTCAGTCTGTCACACTGGAATTTATTTTTGTTTATAGTTTGTTTCTGTTGCAAGAAGTACATGTCTCTTAAGCAGAGTTTGTAACGGATCATCTGGTGCTGATGTGACTCCTGTTTTTTTTGGATGACCAGAATCATGACTCTGCTTTAAATGATGTCCATTTATTGGTTTTGGTAACAAAAGGCTGGATCTGTTCTGCAGTCCTTTCTAAAAAGAAGTGGGTTAAAGTAAGAAAATAATAATAATGTTGATGGGTGTTTGTTCACAGCAGATAATTTCATTCTCGTTTGTTGGTGGCTATGATTGTTTTGTTCATGCAGATGTTTTGACAGGTTGTTTCTGTACACAGGCTGTGCTTGCTGTGATGCGAGAGCGTAACGTGAGTGTGAACACGCAAACGTTCGGAAGTCTGGCTTTAGCCTGTTTTAAACAGGAGGAAGGCCTTCAGCTGCTGAAAGACATGCAGGTAATAAAATAATAATTCTAACAGTAGAAGTAGTTTTATTTACAAATTAACTTTAATATATAAAGACATGCAGTTATGTGACACTCATTTTTAGTGTAAAATACAGAAAAATTGTTTGTGTTCTGCAGGAAGTGGGACTGAAACCCAACATTTTTGTGTTCTCTGCTCTGATTGGCCGAGCAACTAAAAGACTGGATTATGTCTATCTCAAAACGCTTCTGAAAAAAATGCAAGACTTGAGCGTGTGGCCCAATGAGGTCATAATCAAGAATCTGGAGTTTGCTGCACAGTATCCTCCCAACTACGACAAGGTCAGAACACAAAACCCGACAGAACTGGACCAGAACATCACCGTACGCTGCTCGTTTCTGATTGGTTCCCTCGTTGCTCTCTCTCTCTCTCAATTCCCAGTTCAAGTCCAGAGACAGGTACCTGCTCCACATAGATGCTTTTCGTGGTTACTACCAGGAGTGGCTGACATACATGCCTTCCATGATGGCCAAGGAGGAGAAGTTGGAGTCGAAGACTGCAGTGCTGACCCCAGTCGTTGCAGATGGACTGACAGAAGCCGAGAGGAAACAGAGAGCAGCAGCCAGGAGGTTCAAGTCTCGCCACGGAGGCAAGAAGTGCCTAAACGCACCAGCTTTGTAAGAACCACAAAAATAAAGTGGCTTATGTGCTTTTATTTTCTTAAATTCTAATAAACTTGATCCATTTAACTCTTTTTTTAATCTTGTGAACTTTATTTTAAAATTAGCTTAATTATTTGATTGTAAAGTTCACTCTAAAAATGAAATGATGGATTTACTTAACCATGTTATGTTACCTGGTTCCACTTAACTGAGTTGAGTAAATTCAAAGCAACATACTCGTTCTTTGGCTAAAAAACTGGTATATTGCTTTGAATTTACTCAACTCAGTTAAGTGGAACCAGGTAACATAACATGGTTAAGTAAATCCATCATTTCATTTTTAACAGTGTTGTTGGTGCAGATGTGATTTAATGGTAACACTGATAATTTGACTTTTAACAATCAGATTGAGTTGAATTTTATTGGACTATGTAAAATTATTTGAAGATTTTGTTTAGTCATTTTCAGCATGCTTGGTGTGATATAAACTGAAGTAGCTAATGCTCAATAAAAAGGGCAGTGAAATAGTAAACAAATACAATGCAGCGTCTCAAACTTTTCGCAGCTCACTGAGTTTTCATTTCAAGTTCTATCACCCTTGTTTCTGCTTAATGTGTACATTTATACACATGCTAGTATAAACTGAATGGTAGTAGTAAATAAGGAAACTGTAGTAGACACGTGTTCTTGAAAGTACTAAAAAATAAATAAGTTTGCCAGTAAGAAAAGGTAGAAACCCTTACTGAAAAGAAGTATACCTTAAGTACATATCACCTATCATATACCTAAGTAGCTATAGTAAAATATATTTCCAAGTGTACCTTTTTATCTTTTAAGTAGAAAATAGGCTCAGGGCTATGTATCTTGCTTCTATGTAATATGTAGACGCAGAGGGGCCTGCAAAAATGTAAAATGAACCATTTTCATTTTATATGTAAATTACACCTATTAAGACAAATAGAAAAAGTTTCATGCAGAAAAAATACTTTAAACTAGTTTAAAAATATTTTAAACTTTTAAACGGGTCATTTTGACCCGCAACATAACAGGAGGGTTGAGTACACTGGCATTTGATACCTTTTGGTAAGGGAAGTGTCTCGCGCTCTAGGTGGGTATGGAATTCGCGGCGGGGGTCCTTTTTTCGGTAGAACACCGGGCTTCTGTCCTCCACTCCAGATGTCATTATGGATATAGAAGCAGAAGCGTTCAACTGAAGGTTAGCCAGCTTTCTGAGAGAAAGAGGAACCCACATCCCGGGACAAAGGTTAGGAAACCTTGTGACTGCCGCCCGCAGGGAACCTTTTAACGCTCGTTTCCTTCTCTGTTCCTGGAAATCGTCGCTTGTTTACGCGGCTGTGGTTGAGATGAAGCGGAACAGGACCCTCCTCCTCTTCAAGTATCTGTTTTGGTTCAGCTTCTAACATATCCGTGTCGTGTTGTGGCCCAAAATAACCGCGCAACAAATCTGTAGGTCCCCGGCAGTGCTTCTGATAGCAGCGGGAACAGCTGACTCTCTTATTACAGCCGGACGAAACCGGGACATGGCGGCGGTGTTTGAGCGGGTTTAGGTAACCCCGTGGATCGGAGCTCCCTGTATCGACCCTGCACTGGCTGAGCCATTATCAGGTAAACATAATGATTGGGTCACCGGACCTGCTGCCCTTCACCGGGTCTGGGGGCTTTGACGTGGAGGGAGAGGAGCAGGAGTTCCAGAGGAGTCTTCCTGAGGAGTTATCTGTCCCCATAAGACCCCCTGCTCAGCCCTGGACCACGAGAGCCCAGTTTCACAGAGACTTCATACTGGTGGCCGAGTTCTCAGAACAGGTGAGGTTCTACCACGTGAATCATGTGACAAGGCCATAAAAAAGACAGCAGAGGAAATAAACAGTGAGACGGTTTTGATTTAAAAGATAAACTAGTAAACATGCATTTTCTAAATGAGCTAAAATGAGCAATGGCTTAAATTTGTAATTTGAAAACTATATTTAGAACAGGGGTTCTCAAACATTTTGTGTCTGGGGACCCCTTACAAGGGTGCAAAAAATTCCAGGGACCCCCTCACAAACCCCATGCTTTTTTTTTTAAAAGATACTTTGTCGTTTCAACCCCTAAATGCTATGGGAAAATATATTTTTATTAAGTTTATTATGTTTGTTTTATTCATTGTTCTCCATGCATTTTTAAAAATAAAAACCAAATAACATTTTAGTAAAAAAAAAATTTGAGGACCCCCGAGATACCTCTCGCGGACCCCTGGGGGTCCAGGGACCCCAGTTTGAGAACCTGTGATTTAGAACAATACCAAAAACCTAAAGCCAACAGAATAGCTAAAAGCTAAAACTAGCGAAACAGTAGCTAAAAGTTTAATTTCTTAGAACAGTACCTAAAAACTGAAACCAGCACCATGGCTAAAGTTTCAGTCTACAGTCTGTGAAAGCTAAAACCAGCAAAGCAGTGGCTAAAACACAAGACTAAACAATAGCTAAAATATCTAGAACAGTAGCTAAAAACTTAAACGATCAAAACAGCAGCTAAAAGAAGACCGTCATTGTCTGTTTTAAATGTCATACATTCAGTAAATAAATGTAAATCCAAACACATTATGTGTTTATAGTGTTTAAATATGTAGTAAAATCCACAGCCGTTAATTTCTGTCATTTTCTGTTCCTCTGGATTTTTGTCTCCAGGTGGGTCCAAAGCCTGTGCTGATGATCCCAAACGACCAAAAGGTCATCGGCTCGTTTGACATCAACCATTTTTCTGTCCGCATCATGTCTGTGGACTACCAGGCGTCCGGCCCGGGCCCCGCCCCCTCCGCCTCTCCTGGTCCCCGGCTCAACTTCAGCGAGGACTCCAAAGTGATCCTGGGGGATTCGGCGGAGGACGCGTTTGCGTACGTCCACCACCTGACTCTGTACGACCTGGAAGCTCGGGGGATGGTGCGTCCCTTCTGCATAGCCTACGTGTGTTCGGACCAGGTGAAGCTGATGGAGAACTTCTCGGAGCTGTCGGCGGGCTTTTCTCAGGCTTCTGACAGCCTGAAGACGGGAAACAGGCAGGCCTTTTCCACAGAGCTGCGACGAAAACTACAAGAGCTCGAGTAAGATCTGCCTTTGTGTGTGTGTTCTATGTTATTAAATACATTTGTACAGTTCAGACTGAGGATATTGTGACAACTTTTTTTATTCTTCAGGCTTCAGCAAATTCAATTTGAAGCACATACATTTGATCGTTAATTAAAATTCACTGAAGTCAGCCTGAAGAAGTTTTAGCATGCATGTATAAATGGATACATGCTCTGGCAGCTTCTTTCTGCAGAAAGTAGGCTGCAGGCCAGACACGAGTTTTACTGTAAATATAGAAAAACTGCATAGTCACAAAGAAATGAAAAGAAAAGCTGGGCTGCCTTACTTGAATTCCCACAGTGACTCGCCCAGGGTCCAGGTTCCACTGTGTTTGGGACTGGATCCTGAGCACAGTCTGCACATATGGCGAGCACTACACTAGGTCCTTTCTTTGATTTGAGTGGATTTGCATGAACGTTAACTTAAAGAGAAATAAATCATTTTTATACAAAGTTCCTCTTTCTGTCGGAATTCAAAGGTTTGACAGTACAGCTGTAGCTAAAAATTTATGATGCTAAAAAGAGAAAGCAGATAAATAGAGGTTGTTGGTTTGCCAAAACAACACTTCTTATTCCAAGAGCAGGGCATAGGAGAAAGAAAATGATAAATAGACTGATTGGTGAGGAAGTGAATGCGTTAAGGCCTTAAAGCTTCAGAATTTGTTTTTTATCAGTAAATGTGAAGTGACTGGAGGACCCTGTGGGTGGATTTCTCTCCTCTGTTTCAGGTTCAGATGGTTGACTTTGCAGCAGGAGACAGAAGTCCAGAGGCTGAAGGATGAACCCACAGCAGCCGAAGTGAAACCAGATGAGCTGGAAGCTTTAGAGCTCTCAGTCTTAAATCATAGAGAGCTCCTTCGTCAGGTCACATCCTACCCAAACAGGAAGCTCCAACAGCCTGACTTCCTGCCTTACGATCCGGCTGACTGCCTCACTGATCTGATGGGGTTACAGCCTCCTGAGCCCTGCTCCTCKCCCCCYTCCTCCTCTTCCTCCTCCTCCTGCCGGTCGGAGCACGCCCTGAAGCCTCTGGAGGAGCTCTGCAACTCCTACTTCCTGACTCTGATGAAGGAGCAGCTTGTCGACACGGAGCGGCGGCTGCGCGGGGACCGGAGCGTCCTGCGCACCGCTCGGGTCACGCGGTCGCTCTCCAGGAGGCTGGAGCTCACCAACTTCCTCTTTGAGCTGCTGAGCCCCGGGGACRCTCAGGAGGAGGGCGCTGAGGCGGAGCTACTGAAGGTCTCGGGGATCACGGAGGAGGTCGAGTCCCAACCGCAGAGCGTGGAGTCGTTCCTCTCCTGCGTGGAGGAGATACCCATCAAACTGGAGGCGGGAGAAGCTGGGACAGTGACCCCTGACCCCTGCCCTGCAGCGGAGATGACCGGGAGCGTGAGCAGCGGGGACAGCATCGAAGTCTTAGGGACTGAGAAGTCCTACCGGACGCAGCAGGTGGTTTGTGGGTCGGACGGCAGAGGTACGTCCTGACTGTGGGAGGGTTAGATTTTTTATTAAAACAAATAAACATTTCAAGCTTCTCACAAATTTACAACAGAGTATTAGGGCAATTTTTTTATTATTATTACGAGATTAAAGTCGTGATTTTATGAGAATAAAGTCATAATATTATGAGATTAAAGTCATAATTTTACAAGATTAAAGTCATAATATTACAAGTTTAAAGTCATAATTTTACGAGATTAAAGTCGTAATATTACGAAGGAAAAAAGTCAAAATCATGACGTGTCTATTTCCCGTTCCWTTYCTCCTTATTTTCCCCACACCTGCTCTACAGCCATGTGTCTRTGTTTATAAARTAGTCAATGATGACTCGGGTCACTGTTAGATYWATATGCTTTCATCCAAATTAGCTACATGACGATTAATCTGTCAAYTWATTACATTACGGCTTCAGTTTATAGCCGTTTGCACAATTTCYAAGTCCTGCTACTGATAATTTGATGCTAATGTRCTAAAGGATTAACTATTTATTTATAGCAACACTAAAGAACAACTTGACAAGTTKCTCAACATTCCTYATTTTAATGCAGTGGTAACTGCATGCTTTTTCTTGTAAAGGCAACAAAATTATGACTTTAATCTCGTAATATTATAACTTCAATCTCATAATATTACAACTTTATTCTCATAATATTATGAATTTATTTTTATACGACTTTAATGTCGTAATATTACGACTTTAAACTCATAATATTATGAGATTAAAGTCATAATGTTACGAGATTAAAGTAGTAATATTACAACATTAAAGTCATAATATTACGAGATTAAAGTCATAATATTACGAGATTAAAGTCGTAATATTACGAGATTAAAGTAGTAATATTACAACATTAAAGTCATAATATTACGAGATTAAAGTCGTAATATTACGAGATTAAAGTCGTAATATTACGAGATTAAAGTAGTAATATTACAACATTAAAGTCAT